AAATCAATGTTTGGTTTATCCCTACACAGCTTTACTCTAAAAGTTACATTTTTAAGCAAATGCAATGGCTATGTTTGCTCGATAAGGGTGTCTGTATGCATTTATGCTAATGTATGCATATGCATAAATGTTTTTCTGAGTATGCTCATATAATAAGTCATCATACGCTAACCTCATAGCATGTTTAGCTGAGTCCCCGGGGTGGGGGGAGGTTTCCTCTGACTAACATGCTGCCATGGTGGATTGGTCAGGAGGAGACAGAGGATGAATATTTCACTTTGCTTAGCTGTTAATATTGCTAAAGACAAGTCCCTTTCCTGTGTACTATTTAAGATTCAGCACATGTGAGGAGATGCATTGAATATTATCAGCGGCTATTGTCATAATTTGTGAGTTTCATATTTTGAATTCATTCCATAGCCTTCCCCACTACTCCTTAATGTCAAGATGCTATGTGTCTGTGGTATTTGTCACTCTATAAGTGCTTCTTTCATGCATCTTGTCTTTAGTTTTGCTTTCTATTTGTCATTTTCCCTGATTGCATTCACCTGTGCCTCATTTTCCCAGCTGTGTTCATTTAACGGATTGCTGTGTGTGTATAAATATTTCTTTGTTGCATTATCTGTTATCCTTTACAGCGTGTTTCCCTTTTTTATGGTCTCCTGCATTCTGCTGGATTTTCCACATGCTGTGTCATTATTTCTGTACACATGCTGTGTAGATCACATATTGCACATTATAGTTTGCCTCATCTCATGTGAGTTTTACCTGAAGACTTACATTGAATGGTAAATGGCCTGTATTTATATAGCGCTTTACTAGTCCCTAAGGACCCCAAAGCGCTTTACATATCCAGTCATCCACCCATTCACACACACATTCACACACTGGTGATGGCAAGCTACGTTGTAACCACAGCCACCCTGTACATTAAACTTGTCTTCCTGAGATGAAACAAAACAGCCTTTCCAAACCAAATGTGGCTTCCCTCTGCTGTAGCTCCGATTAAAGGAACAGGACTGTCCAGTCAGGTCTGGAGTCAGCTGCCCCCTGGTGTCACTGTATATTATTGCAGAACTGAACACAGCACCTCCATCTGAGAGGGACAAAGATCTGAGATGTTGCACAGGGACTTAGGATGAAAACGTAAACATATTGGGATGTGAACATCAAATATGAGTGAATTTCATACTCATCGTGCAAGTGTTTGACCTAAACATGATTTATTATACATCAAGAGAGCCAATCCTGGTATATGAGTTATCAGAAGCTCCCACAGGCACAGAACAGCTTCTCTGATATATAAGCATCTTGCTCTATAACTCCACTCTCTTATCTTGATCAGATTTTCTATCTGTACGTGTGTGTGTGTGTGTGTGTGTGTGTGTGTGTGTGTGTGTGTGTGTGTGTGTGTGTGTGGTGGTGGTGGTGGTGGGAGGGGGCATACTAAATTTGAATGTAAACGCGAAATAGTGATTCTGGTCCTACTTCATAATGCCAGCTTCACCGATCAATAAATCATTTTCAGATACTGCTGATCGGGACCACAGCTGTTGGTAGCTCTGAGGGTATGACCACATCTGTATGTGTGTACCATAGTATCAGATTTATACAGTATAGTACGGTGGAAAATGTTTTAATGAGAGAACATCTTTGTGGACAGACCGTGTGTGTGTGTGTGTGTGTGTGTGTCTCCCCTTCCATCTGTCTTTCTGTCTCATTGTACGATGTGCATACTATACTGGTGCATACAGTCACGTTAATCTTCTCTTGGGGTTCATCTCTATCTGTTTATCTGACTTTGAACTGTGTCTCTGTGTGTCTGTAGGTTTGTGTATGTCTTTGTTTGTAGCACCCTACCCTCTGTCTAATGGGGGCTGGGGGTGGGGTGATCTGCTGCAGAGCTGAAGGAATGGAGTCAGCTTCACTGTTCTCCTCTCTTCTCCTTTTGTCTTTATTTTCATCCACCAGTCTCTTTTTCTTTGTCCTCTTCTTTTATCATTTTCTTCTGTTCTTCTTCCTTTCTTCTTTTTTCTACTCTTTTGTGTTTTCATTTGTCCATTTACTTTTCAGTTCTTCACTTTTTCCTTTCTTGTTTGTCCTCTTCTGATTTTTCCTCTCATCTCTCACTATCCCCGCCGTGTAATATCCACCCTGATCTGTCCTCTTGTCTTTATTATATATTCACTCTTTTTGTCCTCTTTGCTTTTGTCCTTATGTTTGTTATTTAATCCCTGATTCTCCTCTTCTTGGGGTTGCCCTCTTTTGTTTTTTGCTCTTTTTATCCATGTTGAATTCAGTTTTTTCCAATGCTCTCTTCTTATTCACTTTCCCCTCATCCTCCTATTGAGACCCCTCTTACCTTCTTCTTACTTCTACTTTCTCCCTTCTTCTCCTCTTTTCCATCTCGCTCTGATTTTTCTCTTTACTCATGCTCTTTACATATCTCCTCTTTTTTTTTTTTACCTCTGTTATCACTTTTCTTTTCTCTCCTCTCCTCTATTGTCCTCTCCTCTCCTCTCCTGTCCTCTGGCTGAGCTATTGTCTTTGTAATACATTTCGACAGTGACATTAATGAAAGCACTGTGCATTTAACGACCGATATCTCCGGAAATTCCTCAGCATTCTTTGTCATTGCTCACACTGACAGCCACACATGCATACACATCTGAAATAATACACTCAACTGGCCGCTCACATAAACATAATCAGTGCAGGAAATAGCAGGTCTGTAAACCTGTAAACATGGTGACTAAGTGTGTGTTAAGTTTTTAAATATGATTTTTTTGTGCAAGTGTGTTTGACATCATTAAAAGACAAGTGTCATTTACAGGTGTAATTTAATTCAGCGTGACCAATACTTGGCTGTGTGTGTGCTATGATAGGACACAAGTGTGACCATCACAACAAAGGAGGGTGGGAACTGCTAAGCTAAAACGATATGGTGAGAAAGAGTATGTGGGCAGAAGAGAGCAACTAGGTATGAATTGTTAGGTGAAGGAAAAGTTTATTAAGAGGATGAAATAGAGGGAGGGATAGGGACAAGTTGAGGAGCAGCTTGGGAAAAAGAAAGTGAGAGGGTACACAAAAAAAACAAAGTAAAGATGGAATAAAGGAGAAAAGACATTAACAGAATATTAGCAGTGTTGTGGTAGAGACGAGCCATGGGATGACCCTGACTTCATTAGCTACACATTAAAATATTAGATATAGAGAAAATAAAATAAAACACAAAGTTACCATCATTTTATAAAATCCGCATGGTCCTGTCATTTGGAATGCTTCAGTGACCTATATTTAAATTTCAAGTAGTGAAATAACAGACTATATCTGTATGCTATAAGTTCTAATTCCACTTTTATTACCCTTAATAAATAAAAGGTTTCTTTCCAAACCCATTAGTTGGTGGCTTCCTAAAAACTAACATCATGTTGTACTTAGGAAGTCTCAAAACTCGTGACTAAGACCAACAACTCATCAGGGATCTGTTTACTGAGATCAAAGAAGCTGAAATAGGTTTGTTCATAGACTTCTGGCCATGCACGTTGACTTCTGTAAACCATTAGAGGAGCCCCCCACTAGCCATTAGAAAGACTGCAGGCTTAAGGAAAGTCTACATTGGCTGCACTTTTCACACCCAGAAGCTCCCTCCATCTTTTCTATACACAGCATGGAGGAAACCATAGCTTCCTTTCTTGTGCGGTAAAGGTGAAATATTTGTAGAAACCACGTCATTAACAAAGATCTGGTGAATGACCAATAAAAACTCACCAAACTGGTGAATAAAAACAATACAAAGGGAACTTGGAGCCATTAAGATTTTTTTAAAATGTATTGTACCCATGTACAGTATACTACAGCATACTCCCCAAAAAATTTGTGCAAGCTGCTATTATTAACTATAGTTTTATTTTCAAGTTAGGTGATCTCTGTGGGAATAAGTGTTTGAAAAAAAAATGGACTGGTGTTTTCAACACTCACAGTGGATGCACTTGAGGTTCAGTATCTTGCACAAAAATACTCTGACACACGCACAGAAGAATCGATGCATTAATCATCCGATTTGTAGGTGGACTGCTCTACCAGCACATCCCTGGATGCCCCAAACGTTGCCAATAATTTTAAAAGAATGTTCAGTTAGTTGAAAGATTTATTGGCTGCATAATAATGGATAGTATAAGAGCAGCTCCTTAAAGCTAATTTGTTCATACTCTGCTTTAGAGTACCAACACGTCTTCAGTGTTTTAATTCTACTTCACCAAGATCTCAGTAAGAAGCCCTGTTTATAGACGATACCATGTTTTCTTGCTCTTTCTTCAGTAATGTTAGTCATCTTTTTCATGCATATGTGCAGCATGATAAACCAACCTTTTAAAAATGCTCAGAGGTTGTCTGTACAGTGCATGCATACGCTCTGCTGTAGCTATTTATGCTGTAGCTACACATTGATATGTTCATGTGTCGTGTACGTGTTTAGTTTTCTTTAGTGTTTTGTATGCTAGCACTAAAAGACTACAACTTAACATGTATGTATTTATGTGCCTTAAGAAGCAGCTATTTTTCTGTGTGTGTGTGTATGTGTCACACGGTGGCATGTGAAGTTTTGACCCAAGTATGAACTCATCACTGACATTTACAAGGCCTTTATGCTGCTGTCTGTGTTTGTTTCTCTGTGTATGTGTGTGTGTACACATTCCCTGGAGGGCACACACATGAAAGCACACATACGCACTTGGATCCATCAGTCTAGATGGGTGGATTGCAGAAATTGAAAAGAAAAACCATGCCTCTTGTTGTCGGGCTCAGCAAGTCTTCAGAAATGTTGGTTGTAGTCTTATAACAATGTTTTTCTCTTTTTTCAGTTTTTTGGCAGTAGTAAATTATTTTCCAAATTATAATCACTATGCAAATGAAAAATTAGAACTAAAATTATCCTTATGTTGATGTCTGATTGTTTCCAGGCAAGAACAATGATAAAGGCTTTTATTTCTCTGTCTCAGGTGTGGAGGCAGAACTTCTCTCTGAAGCAGCACCTGTGATTGTTTGGAGACTCATCGAGACCGTCGAGAAACATGGTGAGAGAAAAAGCAACATCACTGTGTACTAAGTATATTTATTACCAGGTAACTACACACAATGCCATCATTATTTTGATATTTTATATATATATATATATATATATATATATATATATATATATATATATATATATATATATATATATATATATATATATATATATATATATATATATATATATATATATATATATATGCTGGATAGCGTAGTGGTTAGACTACACGCCTTTCGAACAGAGGATCGCAAGTTCAATTCCTGCCTGGGGCGTCTGTATCCAGTAAGGGTCCTAAGGCTAGACCCCCTATGCTAAGCAAGCCTACTGCAGACATGAGCGAGACAGATAAATATGAAGGCATGCCAGCTCGGACGTCGCCCGGATCAACAAGGTCCGCGTCAGGTGTTGAGGAACCAGGGCACCCTGTAATTATATATATATATATATATATTAGGGGTGCAACGATACACAAAATTCACGGTTCGGTTCGATACTTTGGTGTCACGGTTCGATATTTTTTCGATACAAAAAAAAATGTTCATGCCTTTTTAATTTGTCATTTATTAAAATTATAAATATATATTTTAACTCAAAAGTACAGTTTTGAGTTGCGTGTTTTTTATTTTGACAGCGAATGCGCACCTGCGGACCACTTATGTGCAGCCCTGGTTATATAGCTCGTCATATTGCAGCCACAGAAATTATTTTGTCCATGAAACCATAAAGCTGCACTTTCTTTTCGCCTTATAGTCTGATTTGTCATAACTTTTCCGTTTTGTGGTAAGCTTTTCTTTGGCTGTCACTTCTTCACCCTGACCTGTCTTATTTGGCTCAGCAGAACTAAAATATATATATCCTGCTGCTTTTACACACGCACTCACATAAGCTCAGCGATTCTCTGCGCAATCAACCTCTCACATGTTTAAGCTTGCTGCGGGAGATTTCACTTGTCATGTTTGCATAGTAAGCTAACAATTAATAAGACGATGTCAGAGGAATTGGTGCACAAATTATCATCACTCACAGATCAGTGCTGTCGCTCTCTATACACAGTTCGCACGATTGCAAAGTGAAAGCAAAAAAACAAGCGCAAATTCAAACGCGATTTCAATATGTCACATATTGACAGTGGCTCACCGATGCCAATGACATAATTACCCAGCTACATTTCTGAAAGAATGCAAAAGCATTGACATATATTTTTCCTTCCTACAATAGCCCGACGGGCAGGGCAGAGATAGATTTTGGTAGCCCGACTGAAAAAAATCGCTAGCTCCAGGACGTCGGGCTAGCGATATTGCAAGCCCTGTATCTGATTGAGGAATCACTCATCTTTGGAAAAGAGAGTTTATTACAGAAAAATGGCTCTTTCCAAAATAAAAGCTATACTATCCGCTTCTTCTGGGCTATATTCTCAGCAGCATAAGGAGAATCATGTGCTAACAGCTGTCTAAATGACTCGGCTAACGTTAGTAGCATGCTTGTTGTTTTGGTCTTTGCACTAGGATGATGTCGGCGTAAATGTGCAGTCATATTCGTTGTGTTCCCACTAGTGCTTTCAGGTTAATCTCGTTGAAATGACCTTAACGCCACAACACGGCAAATCTCCGTTAACGAGCTACCGCCGATCGCCCCGTGTGTGGGGCTAGACGGCCAACACGTTAACGAGCTAACTGCGCTAACACACTAGTTCCCACCCATGTAATTGAGCATTGCATGGCACATCCAACATACTGTTTTACTTTAGTCCATGACTCGCTTACCTTCAGGGTCATACGTCACATGAAAACCAAAATAATTCCAAACGCCAGATCTGAATGAGGGTGATGGAGGTCCATGTGTCTTGCTAGCTTGCCCTGCGCTCTTCCTTCTGACTATGCTGTCTGTGTTGAGCGCTCAGTGGATCTGCGCTCGACAGTGCAGCCTAGGCGGAGTAGTCGAACGCAGATTCACTGAGCGCTCAACACAGACAGCATCGTCGGAAGGAAAGTTGATAAAATAAATTACAAATGTTGTATTGTTCGATACATATGCGTACCGAACCGAAAGCACTGTATCGAACGGTTCAATATCGATACGAATATCGTTGCACCCCTAATATATATATATATATATATATATATAGATATATATAATTATTATGGTAATTGCTCTTTCTTAATTATATATATTAAATAAAGAAGAAAGTACAATAAGTCTAATAAGTCTAATTTTTACAGAGGAGTTCACATTTTGCAAAATGTACACCTAACTAAGACTCACTGCTGCACAAATTCATAACTCAGCATGTGACCACTGAGTACATTTCTGCATGTGTACATTTCTGCTTCTGGGCTACAAATCCAACATGATGATTAGTGAGCTTTAAATATGCTCCGAGCCTTATTTTCAAATGAGAGCCAGGCTGGTTTTACTTTTCATGAGTCTAACCATGTCCTGACTCCTGCTCTGTGGTTAGAGATGTGAGATTAATCTCCATCTTTTCATTCTGTCACTTATTTAAAAATAAATCCACCTTCTCCCACATGAGAAATAATAAATATGTGTGGTATGGTTCTGTCTTCTGAGGGCAGCAGGTGAAGAATTTTATAATTCAACAGGGCTGCATGAAAAATATAACACAATTCACCACATTTAGCCTGGAGCCTGAATAGCAGACTTGATCATTTGTATAATATAATGTATATCACTGTTTCTTAGCCCAGAGGAACATCATATTTTCTGTCTGACACAGTCATTTCTCGACTGACTTCGTTCCTCTTCGTCCGCTTGTGTGTGCTGTCCAGATCTTAATGATTCTCTGTACCAAGCCCCACCAGCATCCAGTGGACCTGTAGAGCTCCGCCAGTCTCTAGAATCAGGTACGGACCCCTTCAAAATAAGTTAAATGTTGGAGCAAAAATAATGTATAATAATGTATTCAGTAAATATTTACTGAAAGGTTTTTTATGAGGTGCCAGTTCAATCAAACGTCCAAGATAAGGCGGTAATGAGCTGAGTCTCAGACTCTGAATGTGACTGATTTGTCTGAGTATTTAAGGAAAATATTGCTTGACCATTCATATCTAAATGATAGAAATATTTTAAATCATATCACAATGAAAGTGATCATTCTCTTTACATCTCAGTGTCATGAGCTGTGTACAGGCAGAAACTGTGGACCCAAGGTGCAGACACTTTGAGCAGGCAGGCAGGGCAGACAGCATAGGATGAGGGAGACCACAACACAGATCAAAGAAAACACAGGGCTTAAATACACAGAGGGAGCAATCAGGGAATGGGAGACGGGGGGGAAACACAGCTGGGACAAATCAGGGCTAAGACATGGGAAGCAAAACCAAACACATTAACATGAGACACGAACCTTTAAAGTAAAACAGGAAACATAACACAGAGACGTGGACTTGACAAGGGGACACAGCTGACAGGGGAGACAGAGCAACTATGGAACACAGAGACATAAACTATAAGACAGAGAACTCTAAGAAACCAAAAAACTAGAAATGATAAATAATATCAAAATCAAAGTTCAATAATGATGTAAAACTGAAAACCCCTAACACTCAGAACCTGCAAAGATTCTCATATTGCCTCTTTGCATCCTCTAACTTACTCCCATCTTTGGCCAAAATTAACTATTGTCTCTGGGAATGGGCTTGACTACCAGTATGTCAGTGTCAAGTTGACAACTGCTGATCATATTTGGTGATGTGATGTGTGGTGATCACCAGCTGGAACCAGAAACATGTCACCAAACAGCTGATTAGTATGAGGTTGACATGAAAAAGGTTATTGTAACCAGTGTGTCAAAGGTAGCCCTTAAAACATTTTCCATTATGTTAAAAAGGGACAGTGCTCTTGATAAAAGTATCACTAAGTATCAGTATCAATAATGTTACGACCCGTCTAGGACCAGGCAATAACATGAGTGAGGCACTCGCTCCCCCCCCCCAAGACCCAAGCAGCCACAGGAAACAAATCCGTTCTTTATAATGCCATTTATTTATAAAGTGAAAAAGAGGAACAACAAAAACGGGAGTGTCAACACTTCAGGGTGAGCCAAGGCCAAAGTAATAAATAAAAACAAATCTACACAAATCCCGCACCCCTGACCTTACCAAAACAAAGTCAAAAATAAAGACAGAGTCTGACCTCCTTAACTAATTCAAAACAGGAGAAAACGGGTGATCAAAAGAAACGGCTGCTCACCCCTACCCACTCCACTTCCACAACTTTCAAGCCACACTGCAGCCAGTGGCTGCCACAGTTACACTGCTGGGTCATGAGGAGAAACACGAGGACCTCTCCCGCCATAACACTCCAGCCTCCTTTTAATGGGCGGGTCCTCCAGCTGGAACCAGTCACGTCGGGGCGGTGTATCCACGCCCCAATCGGAGCAGGGCCCTGGCACAGCTGAATTAACATAAAAAGATGCATCACCTGCACAAAACAAAACACATGAACATGCAAGTTCGGAACACTAAGAATATAAATACCAGTATTTGTATTTATAAAATCCTGACACTACCTATGACTTATTTTTTGACTCTTGGTGTCGGCACGGTAACTACTGCTGTACTCCCTGTCTGTCATGGAAACTTATCAGCACACTGTAAACCTGAGGAAATTTAAAATTTAAAGTTAATAAACGTAAAAGTTCAAGCATACAAATCTCACCTTTGTGTTCTTTTTTAATTAAGCAAAAGTCAAACAGGACCTTTGATAAATCAAAACTGTAATAAGTCAAAAGTGCCTCATTCAGCCATTTACACTAGCACCTTTTTCGACACTGCAGTGGTTATATTCACATATCGGTGAACACATCAGAGAGCAACTTGGGTTTCAGTATCTTGCTCAAGGATACTTGACCAACCGAATTAGCTGATGACCTGCTCTAGAGTATTGTCTTTTATAACATCAAACACAAAGGAGCTATTCATTTATTTATTTTGTAGAAGGAAAATCTGCCCTTTACACTTGATAGCATTTAGTACCATTTTAACATTGCTGATGATTGTGGGTATTTCTTAAGAGTTCCTAATAGAAAAAAATGACCAGACGTTTCTTGCCTGTGTTCAATGAGCACAGAGTAGCCTAATACACGTCCATGATCAGTGATCCAAACACTGTGAGTGTAATATTCACAGGCTCTGGTCATGCAGAAAAGCTCACTTGCACGCATGTGGTGTGAGTAAACAGTAAATACATGGCTTTAATCTGCACCAACTACTTACAGTGTAGATATTTAGCATTTAGATTCACAGCAACAACAACATCTTTGATTTTAAGGAAAATTTCATGGAAGATGTTCACACATTAAATATTCTGTTGTAGGAATACTAAACTGAGGGAAATGAAATAATTGAATTATCGATAACTGGGGATCCTCCAAGCGCTTCTATCACAGACCCAATGGTTGGTAAAAAGATACCTATTTTATCTTTTAAGTACTTTATTGTGCCTTTAGGGGTACAAAAGCTTGTCTCATGGGTTGTATCTTTTAAAGTATTGATGTTGTGTCCTTAGGCTGGAGTCTAATCTAGCTGTCATAGAAAGAAGACAGGGTACACCCTGGATACACTCTGACATTATTAAGTCATTAATTAATTTATCATGCAGTTATTAAACGTGGGAGGAAATCCATGCAGATACAAGGAGAAGATGCGAAGTCCACACAGGAACATGGCTGCCAAACAGGAGAATTAAATCAAATTAAATAAGGGACTCTGACCCGAAGGATGGAGAGCCAGTCCAGACCAGGGGTATCTGGGATCTAACAAAGTGCAAACCAGAAAATATCCTGGGCATATACAAACTGTGGCACAGTGGTTCAGTAGTTAGCACTCCTGTCTCACAGGAAGAAGGCTCCTGGTTCCAATCACAGCAGGGGCCTTTTTAAATGGAGTACATGTCCTTGCATGGGTTTCTTCCAGATGGTACCTTTGCTTGAATCGCATAAAAGAATGTTAAAATAGTGTGCTTTTTACTGCTTGATAATATATTGTATATCTACCATTCTGTATACATAAATAGCTGGTGTTCCAGTAATTATTCTTATTGATTAGATTTCTCTATATTGTAACAGCATGGGCGAAAACAGTTTTTTAAACTCTATCACTATTACCAGTTCTTTCAGGTCAGATAATTATTGAATTATTGACTTACAGGCACCTCTTTTGTTTCACTTAACACTGACTTCACACAGGTCCCTTTTCTCTTCTTGTTCCACACCTCGTAGCAATAACTGCACAAACATGGTTGCTCTATTCAGAATTGTCCTGAATGCATTCAAACTGGTAAACGTACAATGACATGAAAAAGCATTTTGCCCCTTCCAGATTTCTTTGGTTTTTACATATTTGTCACACTTTCAGGTCATCAAACAAATGTTATTGTTACAGAAATATAACTTAAGTAAATATAAAATGCAATTTATTATGGGTAAGCATTGGCAGGAGTACCAAAATTACTCCAGAGTAGAAACACATCTAATCCGGGAGATAAAAAGAGAGGAAGAGACTGAGCAAAAATGTGATCCATCTTTGACTTCTGTGGCAAAAACCTATGCCGACCAAAAAAAGAACATAAAGGCTTTTATTAGGTTTAGGGGCAATTGTCTGCTAACTATAGCTCAGTGGAGCAGATCATCTACTAGTTGGAAGGTTGGTGATTTGATCACTGGCTGCTGTAGTCTGTATGCCAACATATCCTTGCTGAACCCCAAGTAGCTGCCCTATTTGTTCATCAGAGTGTGAATGTTAGATAGAAAAAGCATAGAAAAAAGTGCTTGTGTGAATGAGGGATGTTGTATGAAGTGCTTTGACTGCTTAAGTAGAGTAGAAGAGTACAAAATAAAAACCATCCCATACTACACAGGGGCCATGGAGGTTTGCAAAGTCCTATTCTTTTGATAAATGAAATCATCATTTTAAAAATATTTTTTATTTATCGAGGCTACCTTCATCTAACATAAAAATGTGTTTGATGTCATGCAAGTGTGTGCAAAATGTGCTAAAATATGCCACAAATGCTTTTTCACTGTACTGTATATGTAACTGTCTAAAAGCTATTCGGTTAGCAGACAAATAAGATTACAAGTGAAGCCTTCTTGTGTACTAAAATAGCAACATCAAACTTTTGTTTAGCTTGTGCACTCAATTGAAACTGAAATTATGTTTCTTATCTTTTCAAACAAAGTGACTCTTGCTAAAATTAAATGGGCTCTTCCTTTTGCTGTGTTGGTTAATTTGTAATCATCTGCAAGCAACAAGTGGATCATCAGAAAACACAGCTCCAAAACCAGGCAAAGTAGATAGTCAGGAAAAAAGACAAAACTTGGCCAAATTGTAGTATTTGAAGTTCAGTTTTGGCACCACCAGGGAGTGCTCTGGCTCTGTACTTTAATTTTGGGAGAAAGGGGAGGGGAGCTCACAAAATTACACTCTAGACTCCACTCTCAGTTGGAGCATGGTAAGCAGGTAGCTGGCCAGGAGGATATGAGACATTTATTCTTAGTTTTTGTTATTTATGCTTATAATAGTGGGTCAAAAACAGATATTTCATTAGTTCTTACCAGTATGGTGTGATGTTATATAAAGCTTATATAAAACTGAACTTTGCCCTAACACATGTCCACTCTCTGGCACATTTACATGGAATTATTATTGTTAAAATATTATTTTTATTGTAATAGCAAGAAGAATATTAAGATAATGGTTAATCGAGTGCACTCCCTCTAATTTTATATATTAGTAATATAATTTACAAAGTAAATCTTGAATGAAGATAATTCTAAAACTATTTAGAAATGTATTTTATGGACTGATGCAGAACTAATTTCGGTGTTTCAGTAGTTATGCTA